ACGGAATCAAAGGCTTTCTCATAGTCCACATACGCCAGACATAGTGGCAAATTGTACTCCTCGGACTTCTGTACAATTTGCCGAAGGGTATGTATGTGGTATATGGTGCGAAAGCCTTTTCGGAAACCGGCTTGTTCGGGAGGCTGGAAGTCGTCAAGACTGCGCGCGAGACGATTCGTAATGACTCTCGAAAACAGCACGTAGACGCGGCTCAGAAGGGAAATCGGTCTGTAGTTCTTCAAGAGAGCGTTGTCGCCTTTCTTGAAGAACAAGACCACCGCACTTCTGCTCCACGCCTCCGGTGTAATGCCACTATGGAGGACGGAATTAAAGAGCTTCTGAAGGACTTCAAGTACCGGTTTTCCACCCGCTTTAAGAAGCTCCGCTGTAATTCCATCCTCGCCTGGGGCCTTGCCGTTTTTAAGGTGCTGGAGAGCCATTCTAATCTCGCTCAGACTGACGTCCGGGATATTATCGGAATAATGTCGGATAAGACTCGCTCTTGGATCGTTACTCACACTTGCGTGTGGCTCCAACGATGACGTGTACAGCTGTCCGTAGAACCTGTCAATCTCACTCAAAATCTCAGGTGCCCCGGAAACGATGCTGCCACATTCTGTCTTCAGCTTTGACAGCTCTTTCTGGCAGACAGATCTCTGGCAAAGACTTTGGAGCCTTGGTTCTGCTCGATCGCTTCTTCAATACGAGCTGTATTGAAGTTGCGTAAGTCCCGCCGCATGCATTTGGAGATCTGTCTGTTCAGTTGTCTGTATGCTGTCAAATCTGTTGAAGAATTTAGCTTCATCTCCCGTCTAACAACCATGAGATTAAGAGTGTGATCGGAGAGTTTTTGTGTTCTTCTGCGGCGGGTCTTGCAGAACTTAGCTCCGACCGCATGGACAGTTTCCACGAGCTTGTCATTTATATCGTCCACTTCATTGCAGTCTTCTAGGCACTGAAAACGGTTTCGTAACTCGAGCTGAAAGGTTTCGGGACTTTGGTTTAGAGCATGAGGGGGACGGAGCGTTGACTTCTTTAGACGAGACCTCTCCAACTTAACGTTTAGGTTCAGTGTGCCTCTTACCATTCGGTGATCGCTGCCGGTTTTCACCCTCGCGATCACTGAGACGCCACTGCTTACAATCATGTATGTAACACAATTAATAACACAAAACAAATTAGAAATAGCTTGGTAGTGATCACCTCTTTCCCAGGGGTTATTATCATACATAAATTCCTTAATATTATAGCCCTTTTTTTATAGGACAGGGTGACAAATGAGCACACAGTCCACCTGATGGTAAGTGGTTGCTGTGGCCCATAGACATCTACATCTATCCGTTTGCGAATATAAATGCAGATGCGTTGTCACCCATGAGGACTAAGATGCAATGCCTCTTTTACAGTAAAAAAGGTCTCCGGTTCCCTACACTCACCATACGAAACAGCAGTGCTAAGCTGCTATATTACGCTGGTATTCTGCGAGAGCGTAGTCCTACCCCGGTCGAGCCGACCCATGCCAGTGCTACAACTATACTACTAATATAGCTGCAGCAGGGGCGTAGCTACCGCCGTATCAGCCGTATCAATGATACGGGGCCCCCAGGCTACAGGGGCCCCGAACGTGTATAACCAAAAATTCTAATGACTCTTATGGGAGAGGAATTCAATATAAATAATTATTTTATTCAATGCGAGCGTTTTTGCTCTTTTTGTGAAAAATCTGCACTTTTCATTTGGGGCCCTCAATAAATTGATTAATTATTTATTTCAATGCAAGCGTTTTTGTTGCTTTTGTGAAAAATCTTTACTCTTCATTTGGGGCCCCCAATAAATTTTGATACAGGGCCCGTCTAAGGCACGCTACGCCACTGAGCTGCAGCATGGCTCTACCACGTATAATACCCTTTTTATACAAACTTAGTTTGTTAAAGTTTTTGAACTTTGAGCAGGTTTTGTATAATACATTTTCTGGGATTTTGTTAAGTTGTGTGTATATTGTGTGCATAGATTTAATGTATCCTATATCTATGATTGTGTGTGAGTGTGATGGTAATGCTCTCATTTAATAATATTAACAATATATTGTGAACACAATAAAATATGTTCTCAATTAAACTCAAAAAAAAAACCAAAAACTTTAAACTTAAAACTTTTTAATTACGAAATGACTTAAAAAAGTATTTCTTAACGTTAAATTGTTGATTTTTAATTTAAAATAAATAAATATATTGCTACAAGACTATTACAATGACTGTTTTTCCTTAAGGTATATTACCTATCTATATATGTATAAAAAAACATACCAGATTTCAGTATACAAAAAAAATTAACATGTCTAAATAAGTTTCGGTTTCGGCCGAAACTGACACTCAGACCAAAGGTTCGTTTTCGGTTGAAAATCCTGTTTCGGTGGGACACTGATAAGTGTTATTGCTTTGTTTTATATATTTATGTTATTTTATTTACAATATATATTGAAGTCTACGATATGGTGAATTTTAATCATCATCATCTTTACTTTTAATTTTAATCATCATTTTTATACGCGGTAGAGCCATGTTACAGGTATATCAACGTGCTACAACTGTACTACAGTTGTAGCACGAATGGGTCGGCTCGATCGAGTAAGGACCACGCTCTCACAAAATACCAGCAGCACTAAAATAGTAGCTTAACGCTGCTGTGTTTCGTTTGGTGAGTGTAGAGAACCGGAGACCATTTTTACTAGAAAAGAGGTATTCCATCTTAGTCCTCACGGCTGACAAGGCATCTGCATTTTGTTCGCAAGCGAGGATAGATGTAGATGTCTTTGGGTCACAGCAACCAGAAAAAGAACATGAATTCACGTTACATCACGATCCACACTGCATAAACTCCATAACAGTCTATAAAAGTCCACTGCTCAACATAGGCCTCCCCCGCAGATAGCCTCAAAGGGGGAATGCAGTGAAAGACGATCAAATAACGTATAACTCCGAGTGATATGTGACAGTTTATCATCTACCACTAATAAAAAACTAGATACATAATCCCATGCAAAAGTTCTCTAAAAACTGTCGCCAATTGTTTTGACGTAATTCTAGTTGAAATAAATATACATTAATGTAAATTCAACCTTAAATGCATTGTCTAAAGTTGTATTCACAGAGCTACGTACAAATTAAAAGCGCACCCAAATGTTCGAGTGGACGCTCATTCGGTAAGGACATTTTTTGTCACTGATTGTGTACTCGTATCTAGTTTTTTATTAGTTATCGATGCAGTATATGCTCCAAAAGTATTATCAGCGTGGTGAGATAAGCAATCAAAGTTAGAAATCCAACCGCTTCTCTGGGACCACGATAATGCAGCGTTGAACACGTCTTCCAGAACACTCATGGCTGTTTTACCTCACCCCCCATATTCCCCTGACTAGCACTTTGTGACTACCTGTTACCATAGATCAAAGAAAAATAAGCCAAGAAGTTTGAAAACAAAGGATACGCACTGGCTGCTTATAATTTCGAAGTACTGCATTCTTTTGTCTTGACCCTCGTACCATGTCTACAGGTTAATTAAAATTGTCGTTTTTAAAAAATATAATAGTAGGAATCATTGCCAATTACATATTACAATCAGCAAATAATCAAGTATTAAATGTGGTATTAATATAATCGTGTATCTTGTAAGGATCAAAAAGACTAGCAATAATAACTACACTGATGATTAGATTTTTAACCGACTTCAAAAAAGGAGGAGGTACGCAATTCGACTGTTTTTTGTTTGTGTGTTACCTCAGAACTTTTTTTTATATAAACCGATTTTGATGGTTCTTCCTTTTTTTCTTTTCTTGAAAGCTGGTGCTTCTCATGTGGTCCCATATAATTTTGAACAAGATGTGACCAGTGGTTTTTGAGTTATCCTTGATAATGCGTATTTAATGACTTCGACTACATAGATGATGTTCCCATTTAATTTATATTGAAGTCAGTTGTACAAAATTTGTAATTTTACCACTTGTTAGATTAGATGACATAAAAGTCAATGACCATTATAATATTTATACATCCAAATTAAGGTTTAGTAAAAAATAATTTCATTCTATCTCCAGGATATCATTGAAAATCTACAACATAACATCACTAGTGAAATTTGAATCGCAAATATAACACTGAACGTGAAAGAAAAATTAGTAATTAATTTTAAAAAAATATTTTAGATCAAATAACCTTACGAAATAGGAACCTATTATGAAATACTTTTCTCAAGTTTTAAGAACCTATTATGAAATTCTTTTCTCAAATTCTTGTCGCACTATAAATTGTGTACAGTGCGACAAGAATTGTCATTCCATGATTTATAGCGACTTTGGTTGTGGCTTTAGACGACAACAAATATAAAGAAAGCTAGACATCGATTGGCGTTTTAGGATGGTTCATTAATTGTTTAATGAGTTTAAGGTCGTGTTCCGGTATACAATGCGAGCACTGAGCAGTGCTCTCACTGGTGAAAAATTTGTTCCGTTATGGACTGCCAGTATACTGCCGCCATTTATTTACTGTGAGCACTAATGCTTTCGAGGTAAGGTGCTCTCAGTATTTTGATTACGTGATCAAAAAACATAACACCGCCTATAGATTTAACAGCTTCCACGAATAATTGTTATTATTATTAATTAATATTATTACTCAAATAAATTCGGACAGTAAGTTTTAAAAGCAACAACATTCAAATAATATTTTTTCTTGTTGAAAAGAAAACGTGTACATGATAAATATTTTCAGAGTCGAAAAATGGGGATGACAGTATACTGGACTACGTTCAGTTTTAAATAGTAACCAGCATAGCAAACTAAAAAGGAACGACTTCACAATATACTGAATTGACGTCACACCTTACAATGGTCGTAACTAAACAAAGATAACATTTGTGCTCGGCGGCGCAGTATAAAAGCTGAAAAGACCTACTATCAGATTTGGGCAAGTTTATGCATTTTTCATAGTCAAAATAACAGAAAATCTTACTTAAATATTTAATCATCAGTATGCATGTATGCTTATAGCATGGTATAAATTTACTTTCTTATCTAGAGATACCTTATAATTTGACCAAATATCTAAAACGTCGTCACATGGGTTGGTGTCGTGAAATTATAGAAAAGAACCAGAGGTAATTTGAATTTTGTGTTTGATGTCCTCACAGGTGATGAAAGCTGAATATATTGTTAGGTACTAATAGAAATCTGCACAATGGCTCTTTTTGAGGATTTTTCATCAAAAGTAGAGACACAGAAGTCAAGAAAAAAATTAATTGCCTTAATTATTGGAAGAGTGGGTCACGCGACGAACTGCCGCTGAAAGATTAAAGTACAATTACTTTTCACCGTTTTTGCCGTGTAGTGGCGGTTAAGAATACCCACTACCCCATATCTTCCCGTGGGTGTCGTAAAAGGCGACAAAGGGAAACAGGCAGGAGATAGGCAGCAGCATCTTCCTGATAACAGCAAAAACACAATAAAAAAACTGCGGTTGCCAACCCGCTCGCCAAGCGTGGCAACTATGGCAAATACCCCCCTATGAATGAATGAATGTAACAAAGAGACGGCTCCCAGTCCCCGGCGGCCCCGATATTCCTGGCTACGGTGGCGACCATGGTAACGGCGGGGCAGGGGGTGCTAAGAATCTCCGGTGGAGGTTCGGTTGCCACCTACGACGACTCGACCTGGCAACATACAACGCACGCACCCTGAGGACTGACGAGAAGATTGTGGAGCTGGAAGAAGAGATAGACAAGTTACGCTGACATATTATAGGATTATCCGAAGTCCGAAGAGAGGGGGAGGAAACGGTAATCCTCGAATCCGGCAACTTGTTCTATTCTAGGGCGACCATCTGTCCCAGGAAGGTGTCGGATTTATCGTCCACAAGTCTCTCGTTAACAACGTTGTAAACATCGAGAGTGTGTCGACGAGGGTTGCGTACCTTATACTCAGAATCACCAAACGGTATTCGCTGAAGGTCATACAGGTTTACGCACCAACCTCGGCACACCCCGATGAGGAGGTGGAGGAAATGTATGAGGATATCTCTAGAGCCATGCATTCCTCCAAAACCCAATATACGGTGTTAATGGGAGACTTCAAAGCAAAACTAGGCACAAGAGAGAATGGTGAGCTGAAAGTAGGGAAATTTGGAATAGGGCAACGGAACCCAAGGGGCCAGCAGATGGCCGACTTCATGGAGAAAGAGGGACTCTTTATGATGAACTCTTTCTTCCAGAAGCGGCCCCTCAGGAGGTGGACCTGGTCGAGCCCCGACGGTTCCACAAAAAATGAGATTGACTTCATTATGACGACCAGGCGACAACTGTTCAGTAATGTCTCAGTGATTGCGAGGGTGAAAATCGGCAGCGATCACCGAATGGTAAGAGGCACACTGAACCTAAACGTTAAGTTGGAGAGGTCTCGTCTAATGAAGTCAACGCTCCGTCCCCCTCATGCGCTAATCCAAAGTCCCGAAACCTTTCAGCTCGAGTTACGAAACCGTTTTCAGTGCCTAGAAGACTGCAATGAAGTGGACGATATAAATGACAAGCTCGTGGAAACTGTCCATGCGGTCGGAGCTAAGTTCTGCAAGACCCGCCGCAGAAGAACACAAAAACTCTCCGATCACACTCTTAATCTCATGGTTGTTAGACGGGAGATGAAGCTAAATTCTTCAACAGATTTGACAGCATACAGACAACTGAACAGACAGATCTCCAAATGCATGCGGCGGGACTTACGCAACTTCAATACAGCTCGTATTGACGAAGCGATCGAGCAGAACCAAGGCTCCAAAGTCTTTGCCAGAGATCTGTCTGCCAGAAAGAGCTGTCAAAGCTGAAGACAGAATGTGGCAGCATCGTTTCCGGGGCACCTGAGATTTTGAGTGAGATTGAGAGGTTCTACGGACAGCTGTACACGTCATCGTTGGAGCCACACGCAAGTGTGAGTAACGATCCAAGAGCGAGTCTTATCCGACATTATTCCGATAATATCCCGGACGTCAGTCTGAGCGAGATTAGAATGGCTCTCCAGCACCTTAAAAACGGCAAGGCCCCAGGCGAGGATGGAATTACAGCGGAGCTTCTGAAAGTGGGTGGAAAACCGGTACTTGAAGTCCTTCAGAAGCTCTTTAATTCCGTCCTCCATGGTGGCATTACACCGGAGGCGTGGAGCAGAAGTGCAGTGGTCTTGTTCTTCAAGAAAGGCGACAACGCTCTCTTGAAGAACTACAGACCGATTTCCCTTCTGAGCCGCGTTTACGTGCTGTTTTTGAGAGTCATTACGAATCGTCTCGCGCGCAGACTTGACGACTTCCAGCCTCCCGAACAAGCCGGTTTCCGAAAAGGCTTTAGCACCATAGACCAGCCGAAGGGTATGTATGTACATACCCTTCGGCAAATTGTACAGAAGTCCGAGGAGTACAATTTGCCACTATGTCTGGCGTATGTGGACTATGATAAAGCCTTTGATTCCGTCGAAATTTGGGCGGTGAAAAAGTGCTGAAGTGCTTGTACAGCAGAGCTACGATGGAATCCGAGTACAGAACCAGAGTACGAAACCTATCCAATTGCAGAGAGGTGTAAGACAGGGTGACGTCATATCCCCGAAACTCTTCACCGCTGCATTGGAAGACGTTTTCAAGCTTCTGGACTGGAAAGGATACGGTATCAACATCAATGGCGAGTACATCACTCACCTTCGATTTGCCGACGATATAGTCCTTATGGCAGAATCGCTGGAGGACCTAAGCACTATGCTCAATGACCTCAATAGTGCTTCCCAACGGATAGGTCTTAAGATGAACATGGACAAAACAAAGATCATGTTTAATGTCCATGTCACACCTATGCCGGTAGTTGTTGGGAGCACTAAGCTCGAAGTTGTTGACGAGTATGTTTACCTGGGACAAATAGTCCGACTAGGTAAGTCCAACTTCGACCGAGAGGTCAATCGACGGATTCAACTCGGTTGGGCAGCGTTCGGGAAATTACGGCACATCTTCTCGTCAGGTATACCTCAAAACTTGAAAACGAGACTGTACAACCAGTGCGTGTTGCCAGTGATGACATACGGAACTGAGACGTGGTCCTTCACTGCTGGCCGGATGAGGAAGCTCAAGGTCGCTCAGCGAGCTATGGAGAGGGCTATGCTCGGAGTTTCTCTGCGTGATAAACTCAGAAATGAGGATATCCGCAGTAGAACCAGAGTGACCGACATAGCCCAACGGATTAGTAAGCTGAAGTGGCAATGGGCCGGCCATATAGCTCGATGAACCGACAACCGATGGAGAAAAAAGGTTCTCGAGTGGCAGTCTCGTACCGGCAGGTGAAGTGTTGGGCGTCCCCCAACAGTGGAGATGATGGAGATGGAGTGACGACCTGGTGAGATGTGCAGGAAGTCGATGGATGCAGGTGGCTCAGGACCGTGCTTTGTGGCATTCCTTGGGGGAGGCCTATGTTCAGCAGTGGACTTGTGAAGGGCTGTAATGATGATGATGATGATACTTTTCACTGGTGTATTAACAATTGTTGGGTAGTTGTCTTGGAAAACTTTCAACAGCAGCGTTCTCGTAATACAAACCCTTCTTCACAAGGGTTTAGCGTACTGCACTAGACGAACAGACGAACAGTCATATACCTGTCTACGACAGCTGTTGAGATAATGAGGTGACTCATAAAGCGTGAATATGGCAAATAGTGATTTCTATTTATTTCCAAAAATCAAAGATAATCTACGAGGTATTTGCTTACCAAATCCTAAATATGTAGTAAAATCAGAGAAAGATCGTGAAAAAGAACGCATAGAAAAGAGTGAGCCTAGATGCTGCTTTAATCACTATTCCATCAATGCAACAATATACACACAGGAATGCAAACTACTTCAAAAAATAGTAAAGGTATATTGACGTACATTTTACTAGGTATTAACAACTTTTGACTTCACTTCGTTGTTGATTTTCTAAAAACTTTCAGAGTCAACCTTGAGTCAACCATCTAATATAGCTTCTTCTATATACATACAAACTGCTATTAATGCAATATAAATGCCATTTTATGACGTAACTAAATAGCATAAACTAATGTGACTGTTTATTTTTTTGTTACTTTAACTAATGTTATATTAAATTACATCTATGTTTTTAACAACTATTTTAAGCTAAATCAACTAAAGAAAATCAGTCTTTCATAGAGGGATTAAAAACTTATTTCATTTTACCACTATTTACCAATTCTAAGTTGTTCACATCGGAAACAATTTTCGGTTCTTTGACTGGCCTGGTGTTTTCGTCTTTTGTGGTTTTCCTTTTTAAACTGACAATTTTATTAGTGTAAACACCGTCATTTACATTGTTATCGCTATTTGAGATCTTTCTCTTTTTTGTTTTTGTTACAACTGTTTCAAAATCAGACGAGTCATCATCGAAGCCACAATAAACTGGCACAGAACGTCCACTTCTTGTTGATCTTGTTGGTAAAATTCTAGTAGACTCTTCAATTATTTGTAACGGTGGTGGCCATGCGGCAAAATTTACTGATTGTCTAGCTTGTCTATAATTATTAATAGACATCAATTTAATATATACTGCAAGAGTGTGAGCTCTTTCAGCTGCTGTTATAGTACTTGGTAATATACTCCAAGGCATTCTTCTGTCCCTGACGTTCAGATATTTCCTCTTCATTGTTACCCTTGAGGATGCATTACATTCATTATCTTCAACCTGTATTACAAAATGCAAAGATTTTAACAAATTAAATAAAATACTACTAACATTATGTTGTAAATAATGTAGATAGATAAATAACTCTTTATTGCATCTATGAATATAACATGGTTCATACCACGAAGCAAATACAAAGAGGAGACGGCCTAAACAACTGTGTAGTGTGATCCTAACTAGGTCTTGACGTCATCACAGTGGGCGTGGCTTTAGTTAGTATATTGTCAGCATTCGTCCCATAGATAATATACTGTATAGGGCATAAATGAGCCACTCTGACAAATTATTAGGTGTCGAAACCAGTTTTTCTGCGCTTTCATAGATGGCGTTGGGATTATAAATTACTGAAAAATACACTAGAGGGCGCTATCAGCTAGATTCAATATTTCAGAGATATATGAATAAAGTTTAAAATATTTAATTATTTACTAATTTGTTTTAAATAACTATTCATAAGATTTAAAACAAATGTTTTAGATGACCATGCTATGAACCGCTTTGTTTCTTCTCATAGGATTATGCTATATATATATATATATATATATATATATATATATAATTGGAACTGACGAAGTTATTCCTTTTGGCTGTTTATGCGCCGGTAGCTTCGTCGTCCAGGGCTGAGCTGGAGGAGTTTTGGGAGAATGTAAGAGAAGTTCTAGATTTGGCTAGGGGAAACGAAAGAATTGTTGTATGTGGTGATTTGAATGGATGGGTTGGTACCGCTCGACCAGGGTACGAGTCGGTACTTGGAAGGTTTGGCGATAAAAGGGTTAATGATGCTGGCAAGCTTATACTGGCGGTGTGCAATGAAAAGGGTCTTCTTGTGACAAACACTATGTTTAATCACAAGAAAATCCATATGTATACTAGAGAACGAAAGAATGAGAGAAGTATGATCGATTTGTTCCTGGTGGATGACCGACTGCGAAAACAGGTGATGGATACGCGAGTGTTCAGGGGTGCTGACCTGGGAACGGATCACTATCTAGTGATTACTAGATTTAGGGGTCTGTTCGCGGGTTGGCGCTACCGGACGGCAGTAACAGAACCACAGTCGGTCTGTCGCATCCGAAGCTGGAAGCTTCAGGAAGCGGATACTAGGGACAAATATCATGCGAGGGTAGCCGAAAAGCTTGACACCATCGATGGCAGAAAAGAATGTGTAGAAAGAACTTGGCAGAACCTTAGGGATGGAATGGTAAGTGCAGCGGAAGAAGTGTGTGGAACAATAAAAAGAGGCAGTAGTAAAAGAAGAGATGCATGGTGGAATGATGAAGTGAAAGAAGCTGTAAAGAAGAAGAAGAAAGCATGGTTAGACTACTTGGCCTCTAGTAATGATAAGGATATGAGAGAGAAGATGAAAGAAAGATATAGGCTGCAGAAAGTTCACGCGAAAGCACTGATTGAGGAAGTGCGTGAAAGGTGTAGAATGGAAGCGGACGAAAGGTTGTCGCACAACTTTAACCTCGTAAGGCCCAATGTGATCAGAGAAGTACTTCATAATTTATGCGTTTCGGCCCAATACGAAAAATATTGTCACTAAAATTACCGCCCACTGTCATCCACTGAGGACAAATTATATTTTTGTTCCTAGATTAAAAAATTCGCGGGTTTTGTATTTCTTATTAGACGTCATTGATTGGCCCCTTTGCTAGCAACATTTTGGCCAAGAGCAAGTAGGCAACCAACCACAGATAGCTCTTTATTTTAAACTGAATTAAGCCAACATAGAGTCCACGCGTCGTCATGGTGAGTTTTTATCTTGATTTATTTAATAAATCCGTTTATTTTTCCAACAAATTATTTATAATCATGAAATTTAGATTTTATTTTACATAAATATTTTATTATTTTTCCAAATACTGCTGTGCATAAAAAATCATTTTGATTTAAATAAATATGTGATCGAACAATCACACGGAGCGGTAGATACACTTACAGTCATTTTTTATTTGGCATTATGTGAGGTCATTGGGCGTTAGTCAGTTAAGTGAGTATTTCAGAATATTGAAGTATTTTGTTTTTAAAGTACTAATTTCTATTTATTATAGTTTTGCGTGATGAAGATGTTTCTAAATTATTAATCGAATCGGAGATTGAAGACTTCGCACCTAGTGGTGAAGATTTGGATGACCATGACCCACCTTTTAGACTTGAGTTAGATCATATATTTAGGTCGAGTGATTCTGAAAGATCATAGCTAGAAACAATCCACAAAGAAAGACTAAAACATAAAAAAAGACTAAAATACTACAGCTAACTCCATCCCGTGCTCGTCGTGGCTATACTCGTGGAAGAAGTAATTGTGGTTGTAGCAGCAATATAACTTCCTCTGCCAGTCACTCTAAAATTTCACTACCTGGTTGGTCTGAAAAACTATTCCCACCGAAAAAAACGAAGTAATCGCAGCCTACTTATTTACCACTTAACTTAGATTTTTTTGAAAAAGTTATATATTTTGAACAATATATAGATGATAATTTTATAGAGTTACTCGTTGAAAGAACAACCCAAACTTCAGTAAAATTGCATGGAAGAAGCATGAATTCAGATATGAATGAATTTTACGTGTACATCGGGATTACGTTCGTTATGGCTTCTGTAAACTATCCAGTAATAAGAATATACTGGGAAAGTAAATGGAGATTGGCGATAATTGCGGATAACATGTCCCGTTACAGCTTTATACAAACCAGAAGCTCTATCAAATTTGTATTTGACGACAATGTTAGTCAAGCTGAACGTACGGCAGATAAGTTATGGAAAACCAGACCTTTGATACAGCGAATTCAAGAAGGATGTAAGGTACAAGAATAAGAAAAACACATGTCTCTTGACGAAATGATAGTGCTTTTTAGTGGGGCATGTGGAATTAAACAATATTGCCCCGGAAAACTAAACCCAGTTGCTATGAAAGCCTTTGTTCTTGCAAATCCCAGTGGAATAGTGACAGACTTTTATATCTATCAAGGATCAACCACTTAAGAGTTAGGAGATTCAAACCATGGATTGGGAGAGCAGCACACATCCTTTACTTCGACCGATACTTCACCTCAGTAAAACTGGCAAATGAACTTCTAAAGAGACGAATTGGTTGCACAGGCACTATCATGAAGAAAGGAATTCCAGCTGCTGCACGCTTTTAGTTTATTATGTTAAATAAGGAGTAAAAGAAGTATAAAATTGAAATTTTTTATATTTTTTATTTATTACACTTAAAACCAATGTCATCATCTGATCACAAATAAAACTTTAGGTGAAATGCAACAACGATCCAATGTCTTCACATGAGAACAAAAATAATCGCGTCAAAAGTTTTATAAATATGCTCAAAGGGGTGTTACATATGAGGCACATAAAGTGTTTTGTTCTATCTTTCCTAGAAATCTTTCTAATGAACTCGTTTCGGTCTGGGCGGTAAGCGCTATGTTTATTAAGTTCTCCACCGAGAACATTGGGCAGTATTTGGTTGCATCCTATTTTTGCCTTGGGCCTTACGAGGTTAAGGAGAACTCCAAACTCTTCTGGAAAGAGGTTGGAAGGACCCTAAGTGGTGCGACGGCCTTAAGAATGAACAAAGTGCTTTCGAGAACTAATGACGTCCTCTCAGAAAAATCGGACGTCATGCAGCGATGGAGCGAATTTTATAGAGAAATGTATGCGTGTGATGATCTTAGTGAGGGATCCGGGGATGACGCCGTGACTGGTACGCCAGACCCGGACCTCGATGACACTGAGGTCATCAGTATGAAAGAGATTGAACGTGCGATTCGAAGTTTGAAATGTGGTAAGGCTGCGGGACTAGACAGAGTTACTGCTGAAATGGTCAAGTATGGTGGGCCTCGCGTCTGGGACAGCTTTCATCTGCTGTGCAATTTGACGGGGGATGTCCCGGATGATTGGCGATCCGCAGTCATTGTGCCTTTATATAAAGGTAAAGGTTCACATTTTGACTGCGGGTGCTACCGGGCGATCAGCTTGACCAGTTTAGCAAGTAAAGTTTACTCGAAGGTTTTGACACGTAGGATGCAAGAGAAATCGGAAAGATTTCTATGGGAGGCACAATGCGGATTTAGACCTGGAAGAGGATGCACGGATCAAATGTTTTCTCTCCGCATGATCACGGAATAGCTTCTGGCTGCTAACCAGAAGATTTTCTGTGCTTTTGTGGATCTTGAGAAAGCATTTGATAAGGTTGTAAAGAAGAAAATGTGGGAACTGTTGCCGGGGTATGGTTTGGATGGTCGATTGCTAAGGGCTGTGCAGTCTCTTTATTGTGACTGTAAAGCCTGTGTGCGGGTAGGGCATGACCTGTCACCCATGTTTAACGTCCAAACGGGCGTAAAGCAGGGTTTTGTCATGTCTTCCTGGTTGTTCATACTGTATCTCGACAGCTGTTTACAGAAGCTGAAAGATAGCTGTTTGGGTGTGAAATTGGGTGACATAAAAGTAAATTGTCTGCTGTATGCTGATGATGCAGTGCTTATTGGACCATCAGAGGCAGAACTGCAGGCATTAGTCACGTGTATGAAAGAGGAATGTGAAACTAAAGGTCTCCGTTTGAATGCTAATAAAACTAAGGTTCTGGTATTTGAAAGGGACGAAGAGAGAACGAAGTGTGAAATATGGGTAAATCAGGCATGTCTAGAACAGGTAAATGAAATTGTATACTTGGGGAGTGCTTTTAGCCGGGATGGAAGATGTGATTTAGATGTGGACAGGCGTGTCGCTGCCGGGAACAAAGTCAATGGTGCCCTGACTGCGTTAGTGAAAAGGCAAGGCGTAGCGAAGAGTGCACGCCTTGCAATACATAACGCAGTGTTGGTACCGACTTTGTTATATGGCAGCGAAACCTGGGTATCCCAGAAGAAGCATAAAAGTAAGTTGAATGCAGTGGAGATGCGATCTCTTCGTAAAATGTGCGGCGTTACCATGGCCGACCGAAAGCGAAACGAAGAGATTCGCAATATGGCAGGTTTGAAAGATGACCTTATCATAAAAATTGATTAGGGCGTGCTTCGGTGGTTTGGGCACGTTGAGCGAATGAGTGAAGACCGAATGGTGAAGAAAATATATAGCGCGAAAGTTAATATTAAAAGGTGTCGAGGTAGACCGAGACTAACTTTCGAAGACCATGTGAGCAAATTGCTCGAAGAGGGTAGGGTCAAGAGTACTCGGATACCTAGACGTGCATGCATGAAGAAGATAATGAATCTGAAAGAAGCGAAAGAGGTTCGTAAGGATCGTGACACTTGGCGATCTGTTCTCTGTGAAGATAAGTAAGTAAGTAATGTATATATATACCGCAGTATTTCAAAACTTCGATAGCATAATTTAGGCTTCGGTATAAATAATAAATACCAGCAGCGGCGCCATCTTTTTAATAATGTATGTAAAAATATTGAGGAAAATAGTACTTTAATGACTATGAGATAGCGCTAGTATCAACGTAAAAGCAAGCTACTGGGAACTTTCATACCTCTGATTCGTCCTGTGCGCTAAGTGTTGAAAATCGCAAATCCGTGTATTTTCGTAGTATAGAAGAAAAAGATAAAGTATTGTTTTTTATCGTATAAAAACTAGTCAGATAGACGCTCTGATGTTATGGATGGCACATTTAATTAGTAAGTAATTTTATAGCTAATTTATTAAAAAAAAAACTATTGGTAAATCCAATTGTGCGTGCCCTAAGCGCATTAAAAAATTACGTATAAAATAATTATAGGGAATCTTTTTAAAGTAGTTTAAATACACACGTTTTCACTAATAACCTTTTTATTTTACTTCCAATTTTCCAATAATTTTATGTCAAACTTCAATTTTAAAAAAGTTTGGAAAATCCAAAAGTGCACGACTCATAATGCTCATATGATCATCATATCATCATTCAGGTCTCTCCATAAAGTCCAAGACGTACTTAAATATAAATATACTTAAATATATACATCCTACTTACTTTTAGTACGTACTACTATTATTTATTCCGTACTTTTAAAATATTGTTATTAAAATCTCTGATTATTATAATAATCAAGTATGTATGAAATTTGGTTTTTGGAATATTTTGTATTTATACAGCGATCTTTTTGAGCTGCTGCAAACGACCAATACAGTACCCACTCTGGCTCTTGACGCCGAACGGAGTGAGGCAGTCAGACTGCCGCAGTCTATTTACAAAAAATAAATTAATACGAGGTTGCTAAAACACCGAAAATTTCTGGATTTTTACGCCGAAAAAAAATAATTATAACTAAACAAAACAAAATTAAACTGCCATTTACATTCCATGGCTTCTTACATGACAGATGAAGAGATTAAAAAATAGATTGAGTTAAACAATCACTATTTTCAAAAGTTATCGTGTTTACCACTCCATGCGGACTTGATAAATCTACACCATAAGCCACTAAAACCACTTTTTTATGTAAAAATAACAATTAATCGATTTAAAAAATATATTAATAAGTTCAACAATCATTTATCTTTATGACAATGTGCTTTTTATGTCATTTATATGTTCAATATTATTGGTACATACGATTTTATGCGACAAAACGTTGGAATCTTGATTTTAGGCGCTAGTAGATCATACCTACGCGCTTTGCGCTAGGCATGCAATAGTGCTAGAAAAATCCCTTTGCATCGGCTTTCAAATATAATTAAATATATTCAACACTAGATGGCGACACTTTGTGTCATGGGAACTAAAAATGTAAAGGTACGTAGAGCTCAATATTGGTAAAATAATCATACGAAGGTGCTGAAATTTATTTTGCATTTAGTTCTAAAGAATTTTAAATCGCCAAAATATTATTTTTATAATTTTTATAATAATTTTGTAAACAGGCCGCCATCTATCGTCAAGGTAGCTAAACTACATTGCAACATCGATATTTAACTGGAGTAGTTTTACTATTTATCGGTAGATGGAAAATAGTTAAGTGGGCGGGGCTTAATACCCCTTCACCCCGCAAATTGTCACGCGTTGTTAAATAGTGAAATCTTATTACAAGACCTCTTTGTATTTGCTCCGTGGCTCACACACAATATGAAAGTTATTTAAGACCTTATTACTTTAAATCAACAAATAGTGATCATATTACTATAATATGTCATATACTATATATATGATTTATAGCAAGTGATTCCTGTCTAAGATTTGGAAAAAATACATTGGATAGACTGTTAAGTTTGTCGATTCAATTTAAATAAAAACACAAATTAAAATAAAATGAAAACATATAAAAAGGCAACTCTATTAAAATATTAAATAAATATACAAAGTTAAAAGTAACAACATAATATATAAAACCCTCGGTTAAGCACAGGAACAATTTCTGTGAGGGTCTTTGGCATGGGGATTCAGCCACGCTGCCCCATCAGTAGGTAGCAAGCTACACATGTCCCAGAATTTTTTTTATTTCTCTCTCCAGCTCTTCCTTCAGCTATCACAGCTCACAACATTATAAAGACATGACAATGTTATAGGTAAGTTGTAAGGGTATTTATGAACAAATATGAAAGAAAACATATGTATAAAAAATAATGTAATTTTTAAATAATATTATTGTTGTTAATGTATTTCTGCAACATATACCTTCTGCCGTAATAATTCTTCCTCTTTAACAGTCGATTTTGAATTTTTTAATGCCTTAAGAAGGTCTATCATTTCTTCTTTACTTAGATTTTCTTCATCTAAACCAAACTCTGAAATATTGACAAATTATATCACTTAGGCTCTAGAATGAACATATTTATAAAATAAAAAATACAAAGTAGTAAAAAATGATTTGCATGATGCAATACTAGCACCATGTTAATTATTCACTGTGCTTACTTATTTATTTATTTAAACTTTTATGCCCAAAAAATAAAATTGTACATATGGTGGACTTAATGCCTTAAGGCATTCTGTCCCAGTCAACCATTACTTATATACTTATGTATAAGCTACAAATAACCATTATGTCTCACAGTGGGACATAAGCAAAACCCCTGCTCTTTCTTATCCCACCTGTACTGTATAAGGTTGCTTAGGAAAAGGCCAAGAAAATCTTGTGACTTCTGGTAAATGGTGCAATGACTATATCATATTTAAACCATAAATATTTGTAAGCCAGAGGTACAAAACATCTAATAATGCAATCATAAATCTGTGCCAAGAGGCAATTTTAGCAAACCCTTCCTCCTATGAGGGATACCACCAGTGAACTGTACAAATTTACGAGGAGCCTGCTCCTCAAGCATTTATGAGGATGAGTATAGACAACTGGCATCTTTTTCTGATAAAATTAGCAAAGCGAGCTAGGGACTTGTGGCACCCCGACTCGGACAGGTTAGCTCAGAAGGGGATGGCAGGGTCGAGTGAATGTGCGAAGTGAGCGTACAGACCCCTCCATCCCTTTCATGGTTATTTTTTTATAAACTTATATATATAATAATACTTGGTATTACTTCGGCGGAGGGGGGACGCCCCCACCCTTCTCCCTATGAAAGCGATTTTTCTCAGAAATCATTCAATAAGAATTTTAATCTTCAACATTTAATATTAAAAAAAATAGTCACGTCAGGCGGGGGAAAAGGTGGGGACGAATCTACCCCTCCCCCACCCCTTTTCCCCGCCCCCCTATTAAGGCGACTTGATTCTAAACCTTAACCTAATCTTATCCAATGCATATTACTAAAGTCTGTGTTGACACTAACCACCGTGACCAAAATTCGGTCTACAGGACATTAATAATTTTTATTTATTTATTACATAAGATAATGTATTTATAAATTTAAACTTACTAAAACGGCAACAAGTAAGACATGAGCTGAAGCAATAAAATTATAGTAAATATACATTACCAGTCAATTGCGTTTTCATCGTTTTTAATTCAGAATCGCAGCTATCGTCCGACGACAAAGCAGTTTCCATTGTAGTATAATATTGGCAATGTTTATAAATTAGCCAATTGATTTATTGAACATTAAATAATTTTACAAAAAAATCTCATTTATTTTGTAAAATGTAAATACTACAAACGTCAATTAGGCTTGTGAAAAAATATCGATTTGGGCGATGTCTTTTATTTCGATATATCGATATTTCATATTAAAAATGTATAAAAACAATGTACGTATTTTCAATAGCTACACACTGTCATCCGCGATTTCACTAGAATCTTCATTTTCATCTGAGAGGGTGGCATAAGTTGTTAATCTTAGCCTTCCCAATAACAAAAGTTGACTTTCAGCAAATCACATCAAATTTGAGTTTTTCTTTTATTTCTTTCAGATAAATTTTGAGTTTCATAAGTGTATTTAATGTGTACCTATGATATTCTATTTTGTTCGATTAAAAAGTATTACATTTTTCAATATATTATTAATTTATGATTTTACATTTCTGTCAGTCTGTCACTTGATTCAGATCAGAAACGTTGTTTATAGTTTAGTATTTATATGAATAGTAACACATAAACAAACACAATAGTAATTTATAAAGTTCAAATATTTATTAGAAAATTTCACCGATGTATTTTTATTGTGAAACCGATATCAATATTTTCTTAAAATATCGATACGATGTATATCGATACATTTGGCACTTCACATCCGTAACGTCATTAGGAGATGGAGATTATAGTCCCACCAACTTATCTGTGAACTGACATCTGCGGATAAGTTGTGAACTACAGCCGCCATTTAATCAAATGTCACTCGATACGTCATTGTTTTGAGAGTTTATAGAAAAATAAAAAATGCCGAAAATCATTAAAAGTGATGCCCGAAACATTATTTTATAAGTATTAAACTTTTGTGAGCAAGAAGCTCGAAGGTAAGCACCGATAATGCCTTTCAATCAGGTCTATAAAAGAGTATCAGCTGCTACAGGTCAGTATTGCTATGTTTTGTTCCTTCCTTCCGTATTTCCGATAAATGGATTGGTTAATGCAATTCATTTCTTTTTCAGATGTTAGTCAAGGATTCATTTCCAAAATAGTTAAAGAACCGGAAACCGCATAAACCACAGGAACGCAAATTACAACGCCCGGTAAAAAAGGCATAAAGGCATATTATTTAATTAAAGTTTAAATTGTTCAATTATGATATTTTTGTTTCTTCTTGTTCTTGGACATATATCTGTTAAATCTGTGTTCTAGTCTTTTTATTCCGTGACTAATTTATTACCCTAGTATGTGGACTCTATGTAGGAATATAAGACCCTTAGATGGGAATATTCCCGAACTGGCAACACTTCAGCGCAGAAGCGCCAAGCTGTCAGTTCACAGATAAGTCGGTGGCACTATAAACACGTAGAGGTGTCTATGTATAAACAAGATTAAAGCATTTGTTGTTGTTTTTATTATTCGCTCGAGAGAGCAGGCAAAGGAAATATGCCATACAGCCTTTTTTTTGTAATTATCCTTCATAGTTCACTGCTTCACAATATGTTGATGCGTCACATTGTGCAGTTCTTGGAAGATTTTGACGGTAACTTGATCCAGCAGACAGCAGACAGTTGGCGATGATATCTAAAGGCGCCTATGCAAACAAACGGCATATCTTGAGAATCCATCACCATCAGAGCACTTGTTTCACTGTTTCCACTAATAGTTCAAATGCGTAGACACTTAATACACCAAATCGCACGACTTTTAGATATTAAAGTCTACTTCAAACCATTATTTAAACAATAATACAGGAGCAGCAAACCGCCGCCGGTCAATTTCCCGCCAAAACTTTAAAAAAAACCTTAAAGCATTTGACTTTGATATTGTGTTGTTGTCGGTTGTTGTTGTTGTTTTTATTATTCGCTCGAGTGAGCAGGCAAAGCAACTAAGCCATACAGCCTTGTCTTTTTTATTTTGAATATATAGAATTTTAAAGTGTAAATGCCGGAACCAAGTCTTAGTTTTCTTCTTTCCATCTCTTCAAAATCCATAAAGGCCGAAGCCAAGTCTTATTTTCTTTAATTCTTCATTTTCAAAAAACGTAAAGGCTAAAGCCAAGTCTTCTTTATATTATAATTTTTGTAAGTTTCAATCCATGTAGATTTGTCAATCCAATATTTTCAAAAACAGGGATACCATATTTCATATTTCTTTTACAGTATTATGAAAAAAATTGCAAAGTGCTAAATATGTCTTAGTATTCCTAAGAACATCTTGCAGGGCACGCGGGACGCTTTCTGAGTTTTCATAAACTTGTATAAGTTTTTCAATGAGTAGCAATCTTTCTATGGCGTACGCTGGGTAGTTAAATATGATATGTTCTGTAGTCTGATCTGCTTCTGTATTGCAGAAGTTGCATGTTGCAGAAGCTACTATTCTAATCCTGGAAAGATGAGCGTTCATTGATAGTGGCCAAATCAAAGTCTGCACATTATTGTATAAAATTTTCTGCTATGATATCTCTCGTTGCGAGAAAACCAAGGAATACTTAATTCTGAATTAATTGATGCATACCAACGACCTTTTCCTGCCTCTAAAACAGCATTCTATTGCATTTTCTATTCTTCTTTTAACGGTTGCTTTAAAATTGAATATAAACCTGTATGTGGTATTGCAACACCGGTTATCCTGCCAATATCAGCTGTAACTATACTTTTAGCTAAATGGTCTGCGCTTTCATTTCCTTGAACACCAATATGTAACGGAATCCATAAAAATTTACTTCCAAATTATTTTCTTTCAATTTCCACCACAAACTTTTGATTTCATATATGATGAAAGACGTTTTAGCATCTAAAGTTCTTGCCTTCAGTGCTTTCAAGACACTTATGCTATCAGAGATCAGTAACCATTTATTAGATTAGATACATGTGGGTGTTCTTCTATATATTTAAGAGCGATATATATATATATATTATATATATCGCTCTTAATTCGCGCTAATACAGAAGTCTAAATTCTCATGTAGAATGATAAAATATATATGTATATAAGATTAGAAAGATTAAAGGGCGGAATAAAGCCATACAGAGAATGTATATATATATATATATATATATATATATATATATATATATAAAAAGAGCATCATATTTAGCGCCATAGTTCCAGTTTTATAAGTATAGTTTTTATTGAAAATTATAGTTACAGTAATTAGCATAGCTCACAGTAGATAAAACAGCATAAGCCTCAATAATATTATAGATAAGAAATAAAATAAGTATAGATTAACAGATATGTGTAAGGCAGGAACTGCCTTAAAATTATATAAATAATACAGAAGTCTAAATTCTCATGTAGAATGATAAAATATATATGTATATAAGATAAGATAGATTAAAGGACGGAATAAAGCCATACAGAGAATTAGATTAATTTAGTTAATTTAGTAAAATACATAGCTAAGCATTTAACAAATTGTATTATATGTAAGGCACATACTAATAAAAAAAAACCTAGAACGAACTACTATCAGATTGACCACTAAAAAAGAATAAAGGGTGCTGTAAAATAAAATCCAGCAGATAAATAAGTAATATATAAAAAAAAAACCGTCAAATGCCTTTTGTACGCCGATGATCAAGTCATATTTGCATCGTCGGCGGCCGAGTTGCAAATGATGGTAATTTTATTGAACTGGTCATTGAAAGAAAGGGGTATGAAAGTGAACGCAAGTAAGACGAAAGTGATGGTTTTTGAAAGAGAAGAAAGTAAAACGTTATGTGAAATAAGAATAGAAGTGGAGTTGATTGAGCAAGTGGATGAGTTTGTATATTTGGGATGTTTATTTAACAGGGATGGTAGATATGATAAGAATATAGAACGACGAGCGAACGCAGGAAATAGAGTGAATGGGGCTCTACACGCTATTATGAGGAGTTAGAATGTGTCAAATAAGGCACGTATGGCAATTCAATATGCTGTGTTAGTCCCTCCTTTAATGTAAGATAGTGAAAGTTGGGTCTGGCAGAAGAAACATGAGAGTAGAATAAATGCTGTAGAAATGCGATCCTTAAGGAGTATGCTAGGGCTGAATCTGAATGACAGGGTGAGAAATAGTGTGATAAGAGAAAAGTGTGGTTTGCAAGATGACGTTGTGACAAGGATTAAGAAAGGAATGCTTTGGTGGTTTGGTCATGGAGAAAGAATGAACGAGGAAAGAGTGACAAAACAAATTTATGTTGCAGAAGTGAACGGCAGGGTCGGGAAGGGACGGCCTAGACGAAGGTCTATCGACCAATTTGGCGATACATTAAAAATGAGCCAGATTAGGAGTACCCTTAACCGACGAGCATGTATGCGTAGATATATGGATGTAAAGGAGGCGAGAGAGGTGTATCAGGATCGCGCCAAATGGAAGTCCGTAGTCTCTGCCTACCCCTCTGGGTGACAGGCGTGAGTGTTTGTATTGTATTTAAAAAAAGGCGCCTATCACGTTTCAAGGTTCCCGCGCTTTTTTCCTTTGACATTGTGTTGTTGTTGTTGTTGTTTTTATTATTCGCTCGAGAGAGCAGGCAAAGGAACTAAGCCATACAGCCTTCTTTGATATTGTGCATTTGACTGAGACCCATTTTTAATAAGATTTTTTGCTTGGATGCTTGTTCTTAAAACACGTCTTCATATCATTTGGGATCTTCGTTTTTAAACATTTTAAATAGGTATCCAGTGATAATAATACTTTATAATACAATGCTTCACAATATGTGGGTGCGTCCCATTGCGCAGCCCTTCGGAGATTTTGACGGCAACTTGAGCCAGTAGACAGTTGGCGATAGTATCTCAAGGCACCTAAGCTAACTGACGCCTTATCTTAAGATTCAAATCACCATCAGAGCACTTGTTTCACCATTTCCCCCAATAGTTCACATGCGCAGAAATTAAATACGTAAAATTGCACCACTTTTATATATCGAAATCCACTTCAAACCATTATTTAAACAATACTACAAGAGCAGCGATCCGCCACCGTTCAAGTTCCCGCCCAACAGTGGCGTAACTATAGCATTAGAGGCCCGTGGCAATTCATCGAATGGGGCCTACTCCCAATTCCTCTTCTCAATTTAGTCTTTCCTTCCA